AAAACTGGCGATCCCGTCGCCATGCTATACTCCTCGAGGATCATAGCGCCTGTCTACGGCATCGTCCAGACCGCGACATGCCTGAGCCTGCGAAATCATTTCATATAAAAGAATCGTAAGGTGGGGAAATGCATTTTTTGCAGAGAAGGACTTTTAAGTATTCGGTGATCCTTTGAAGACCGTTGCGGGACACCGATGTGCGCGCTCGCACGGGTCCTTTAGTTTTTTAAGGCATTGTAGCATTCACGTCATGGATTCATAGTCTCCTTTGATCGTCTTGTAAGTCTCTTGTATATTCTTCTCAATTAAGTTGCTACATTTGGAAATTTTGGGGATGTTCATTTTCACAATCACCGCATTTCGTCAGGTATGCTATCCTGTCTTCGGCTGCCATGAAAGCCTCACATCCCCACTCAGTAGCCTTCTATCACTTTTGACTGGAATGTCATGGATGTTTGTCTCCTCTCCCAACTTTATTCGCTTGCAGTGGCATCTCCACTGACGACAACTATACGGAGTTGCCTCACTTTTGGCCCATTTTTCGTCCTTTTTTTAAAAGAACCTCAAGGTCTCAACAGCATCTTCATTTAGCTTAATTTCCTATTCCCATTGGTATCATTTTCAAAGGTTTATCCTCAATAATCGCTGAGTTATGAGGATTCAAATTGTACCGAAGCTTTCCTGTCACTCCATAAATTGTAAAAGCAGTGTCTTTATGTATTCCTATTTTCCGGGATATAAACCGCACCCGCCGCAACAAGCAATGGCGCGTAAGCGCTCAAGAAAGAATGAGTCTGATCTAATAAACTGAAGACCCGGCGCATTTTGTGACTGCTCTCCACTGCGCATGTTCATGTCTTCAGGTATCTTAACTCCTCTCAGAAATTTGGACGAATTGCGGGTGTTTGGGTTGTATTTCCTTTCCTGAAGGACACCATAGTTGCCGGTGCTTTCCTTTGTTTTCATTGATGTTATAGATGTTGTAACCGTGCTATAGTTCAATTTCGCTGCTAAAATTTCAACGGTGCTTACAATGCTTTCCAAACAAAGAACGAAAGCAGAATTTGCTAACACACTACTTGGTAAGACAGATAGTGACGGCTGCTTGCGCGGGTTCGCTCATCGCGATCGTCATCGCACATTAGCCCGCGCGCGATGAAAAGATTTGCGGTTTATGCGTCGGAAAATAGGATCATAGAACATGATCCGCCGAAATTTATAAGTTCATAAACCATCCACAAACCTGACACTTCTGGTTCTCTTCTCAGCCTCTAACATTCCTTTCATCCCTTTTTCTCTCTTTCATACTCTTTTCGTACAATTTCCGGTTGTATTCTTGTTTGGAGGTCTTGTCTTCTGCATTTATGATTCTCTTGCCCATGACGTCTGTGGTATTAAACGCGCTGTCATACACTCAGCCCTTTTTCTGACCCTCGTGTGATCTCTCACTGACTCAGGGTTGAGCCAGACTTCGCGGGGAAGCGGCGTACGCGGCGTACGCAGCGTACGTCGCGTACGCCGCGCAGTCTGGCCCAACCCTCAGATTAGGCGGCAGAAGTACTAATACAGTCTTTTTCAACCCGGAGTAAGCGAAACATTCTAAGTGGAGCTGCGCGTCCGCGCCGCCGCTGACTCAGCGAGATAGATCAGAATGAAGATACGCAGACCGCAAAGCGGCGCGAGTCGTTGCGAAGCGGACTTCCGCCCGTCCAATTTCCACCTGAACTGGGGTTGAGTTGAAACTTGCTATATAATAGGCTGCAAGCACAGTGACCAAGTCAGTTGTGACCAAGTCAGTTGTTGAGAACGTGAACGAGAACGTGAGCAGTGTATGCGCAGGAAAGAGCGTTATTAGTTCCGAAGTTTTGCAAAGGGAATAGAGTGCGCTTTGACCGAAATAGCCTTAAAGCAGGAGCAAAAACTCAAATTCTAGCTTTCTTGCTCACCTGGCTCATCGCTATGCTTGATCCGAAAACCGACCTCGGTAGCGACGAGAACTTTTTCGAAAACGATTCAATTTGTCAAGGCTGGGACACAGAGTCGCTGTGGACCCTACGATCCTAACTGTGGCGGTAAGCACACCCTAAAAAGCGGCTTTCCGCTTGGGGCAAGCCTGCCAACTTTGCAAGGGATTTTTTTTTGGTTTGACACCACCTCGCATGCTTTTAAGACGGAGAAAAATAACTCAAAGTACCGCGGCTGTTTCTCGAAAATTGGTTAAGCAACATTGTCAAGGCATTATAGCTACATTTCAGGAAAGAGGAGGGTAATTTGCGCAATTACTGCAGTATTTTCTGGAAAGAAATGGTTTTGTAGAGGTCTTCCAGGAATTTGAATGAGGGAGACTTATGACATTCTTAAAAGAAAAACTATGCACGAAATGACTGAGTTAATTTCTAACTTTCTTGCTTCTACCTGCCTAAATGCGGGGATTTATTGATGAAATGTCTAAAATGGAGAGAGTTTGGACATTTGGAGAAGCCACGTGCGAGAAAGAGTGTGGTCCTCAACACATCACGGTACAGGGTGAATGAAAAGCATGGACTCACGCTTGTGCCTGCTATTTTTTCGTCAAAAATAATTAAAACAACTAGGGCTAATCATTATCGCCGGTAAGGAATGGAGACATTCTAATATGCAGTCAAGAAAATGGGCTTCTATGCATGCAAATAAACAGGCTTCAACAGCTTATCTCCAATTTAACTTGTTCGGAAAATGCTGTGTTGAGGATACGATGAGAAAGCGCGTTCCAGCAGTTTTCCTAATCCAAAAAATTTATAAAGAATGCAGTTTTGTAAAGCATAGTCTACGTAACACGACCATGTCTTAATATCATTACTACTTTTGATCTAAAATAGAATACAGTGCTCTGAAAACGGTGCTGACTTGAGCCGCACTGCTGATTGAACAGAATCTCATTAAGAACCTTTGAGCATTGAAATGGGCGTCTATAAGCGATTTTCGCTTCTGATATAGAGGCCATTTACAAGCCAACGGGCGTACTAGATACCATAATTAGATGTTGGCGTAAAAAGATACAACATATATTGAACACACTGCTTTCACTTTTCTACTACCTTTCGGCCACCCTGGAAAGCAAAGACTTAAGAGAAGGGGCAAGTTCCGCCTATAAAACATCATCTCCGCGGGCTACTGGATCTTACAGGTGTGCGAGCGGCGGTTGTAAATTGAGAGATTATCTTTCCTATGTAAGTCAGACAGGCTTTGACATACAAAATCAAAAGTGGATTTAACAATTTACCTTTAAACCTTTTTGTAACATGTTGTAACTTTTGAAAAGATGCTTTAGTCTACAATATATAATATCATGTGTCCGTCCATCAATAACTCTTGAGTCCGGTTTTTGAATCGAAAGCTTGCATGGCAATATTGTAGGCCTTTGAGGTGATTTTGCGCCTAAGAGTCATTGGGCAGCTAGTCTGCCAAATGAGGGAAGCGAAGATGATATTAGGCTGAATTACTTGTGACCGATACGTATCATTCATTCTATGATCCGGAGCAGGGCCCGGCAGGAGGTGGCATTTCAGAATTTTGAAAACGATATCCCCTTTGAAACCAAAATTTCTTACGACTTCCCCTTTGACCCTATTTTTGACCCCCGTAAGTCCCTGACAAACAGATATACACAAATAATAAGATGGACGGCCTCAGCGCTTATTATAGAAGTACTACCTGGCTTTCCTGGTTCAGCCCGGGTCATCGTTTGAGGGGATGGCCAAAAAGCACACTCTGTCCTTCTCCTTTTGGGCCATATTCTCCACCCTTTTCCTGCAGTATCAATACTGCACTGCAGCCCTATATCTAAGATACTACTCATTTATTAGTCAGCTGCGAAACTTTACAATTCACAATAACAAAAACATAAACCTACACTATACAACTTCAATAACAAAAACATAAACCTACACTATACAACAACAATTTCATAACATTCATTTCATAACAACTTCAACAACTTCAACGGTCAAAACTCTTTTTTCCTCTTTATACCATCTCGTTCTCGTATAACTTCTATTCACATAGATGCTACAAACTCCATCTACTTGCAAAGATAGAAAAGCTCTTTCTGAGACATAATTTTGCATCTTTTTCAATATGGCTGCTGAACGAGAAGCTTTAGCGCTACAAAGAAAGCAACCAGCGAAATTGTGGCAAACGATAGACCAAAAAAAGGGAATGTGCTTCGCGGATCGATCGAAGTTGCTTTGGATGACTCAAAATATGCAAGTTCTTTAAAGGGCATGTGCTAAGAAGTCACCATGAAAGTGGAATGCGGGTTTGATTTGATCCGAAAAAAAGATAACTCGAACGCAACTAGCAAGAAAAAGCAAGCACAACAAATAGAACAAGCAATTTTAAATTCCTAGTTTGAATTTTTGATAGCATAATCATATTTTCATTGTGCTTCTGGTCTGGACGATCCCTTAGGCCCTCGACATAGTTCACGCGATTTGATCGGTATCATCGGTATTATCGGTAAAAGGGCATTTGAGAATTTTCACTGCAGACAGATGCTTGAAAACCGAAAAAAATGACATACTTGATGAGGTCAACATCGAAAGCATTAGTGAAGCGTTTTGTTGAACTTGCTTCATGAGATAAGTCGTCAGGGAAAGATTTTTGATCTGCTCATCAAAAAAATGATTGTAAAAATTAACTGCTGGACATGATGAATCGATAAAGTTTTGTCATAGACGATCGGACATCGGGCCGTGACTTGTGCAAGCTGGCAGAGAGAGAGCGCACATTTTGGAAAACACTGCACTATCCCCTCCCCTCGAAAAATCTCGGCTTCCGCAGGCCAGCCAGCAACCCGACACTGGCTTCGAAAATGTTGTCAAAAAACATGCTGTCCATCAGCGTAACGCATCAGCTTCGCTGCTAGGCTGAGAGCGTTTTTGGCCGAGGAAATTTGAAACGGCAATCTTAGGAACAACAAAAAAAATCACACAAAGATTATGTCTATGAAATCGAGGCAAACAGTCTCGTGTACACTGAGAATGTGGATCAAATCGCGTAAACTCTGTCGAGTAATAAATGATCGTCCAGACCAGAAACACATTGAAAATATAGGTCTCGCTGATCCACAAAAATATTGGAGGCAATAAAGGAAAACGCACAAAGAAAAACAAAAAAGTACAAATGTGATGTGCAAAAACGAATGCAAAAATTCGATGTAATGTAACATATTTGCATAAATGCACCATTCCACCTACCTGAGATAGTCCGAATGAGCCTCAAATTGGTGGACTTAGTGCGAGGTGCTGTAGTCGAAAATTCTGACATGCATGCCATCTGAGCCGGTAACAATACAGTTTTTGCGTGAAATAAACTTGGCAGCGCGCACTGGCAAATCACATATCTGAAGAATGCGCAAGATACTGGATTGAAACATAGTAAGCAACATAAGGCCCCAGCCAGATTTCAGTTGAACAGCCCAAAACCGCTCAAAAACCCCGAAGGCTCCTTTTCACGAGAGATGAGCAATCTTGAGCGGAGTCTGGCCGGGGCCTAACATACAAAAATACACGAAAATTCAAAAAAATAAACCTACTTCGAAAGACTTCAGAAGCAGCTGACTCTCGTAATTCCAAATCTGAACACATCCACTGTGAAGAGCTGCCAATAGCCACGTTTCCTGGGATGAAGGTCCACTGATTTAACTCGACTCGATCTTGTCAAAAACATTTCCTCAACTTTTGATGACAGCATGCCTACAACAACCAGAATAAAGGAAAACGAAGAAAACAAACGACTCAAAAGAGCGAAAGTACGGAGAAATCGACCATATTGCGAAAACTGAAGAAACACGATTACAAAAACAACTGTTTGCATAGAATATCACTACGAAATATGATCTCTGGCCCTTCTGAGCCCTTGTAGGGCTTGTCGAAGAAGCAATCTATTCAGAAATCGTGAAGATTGCTTCAATCAGCGATCACTAATTCAGAAAAGTCACATTCTCGAAGTTTCCGCGTCGTCCGTACAAGGTGCACCGATCGCGATTGGAGCGCGCTTTCCGAGGCCGATCATAACGCTGTGAACCCTATTTGGGGCTGTATCTAAGCGGTGCCTTGGTGGTTTTGGAAGCGGATTTGAACATGTAGTAATACTCTCGACCTAGTCCACATTTATGTAAAGAAATCCGGGAAATTATGTGAAGGGAAGCAGGGAGCCACCCCAGGTGGCTCCCAGGTGGCGCGGGAGCCACCTAATTTCGAAAAACACTTACCATTTTTATAATTCACATAAGTTTTTCATAATTTTTCATACTTTTTTTGTGCTCATGGTCCTCCAATTATACAGCAAATTTGGTGCCATATCGTTACCTGTGCATTGAAAACAAGCCTGTTTTGTTGTTTTCCTCTTACAAGAATTTCGATTTGAATTCCCGCCTGCGGGAAAGCTAGCGATCAAAGCACAGAATCTTCACATTGTTGGAATCTAAGTTCATAGGACAGTAGCATCAACAAGGAATGATGAATAAAGAATGATATGTGCATTGTTTATCGGTAAACAAAGGGGAAGTCGTACTTTGGGGTCCGGGGCTCCGCCCGGACCCCAAAATACGACTTCCCCTTTGCTTTTTCGGGCCAAAAACGATATCCAGCTTGTGAAAGCGCCACCCCCGCCGGGCCCTGATCCGGAGAGGCGAGACTGCGTTGCATACATTGTCTAAACAAGCTTAATCGTGTACTTAGCAGGTTTATACTTGTTGATTATCTCGTCCATGTTTACTCACTCTTTGAAACAAGGAAGAACAAACTCAAACATGTTAAGACTATGTACGCAATGCGGTCACGCGTCTTCTAGTCATGAGATAGATTATATATCTTATAACGCGCAATATTAAACGCAATATTAATTAGTTTTGAGATGGTTTTCCAGGCATATTCTTTCCTACTGGCAGTTTCCGGCTGGCTCATGCCGTTGCGGAGGGGTACAGGTGACTACCGGTGTCCTTTGAACGTTGTTGAAGGAGTGGGCGCAGTCAAAGCTTGGGTAAGACAACAGGGTGGAAGTCATCCTTACGAGAAAACCTCAAGGTAGACTAATTAAAGCTTCGAAATACAAAAATGGGGGATGGAGAATAGGGGAGTGGACGTAGAGGAGTATGCGTCGAAAAGGGGAGGTTCCGTTTGGACATCTGGACGAATAGTCTCATGTAAATGCAAGAAATGCGTATTTGTTGTGAACTGCCGCGTAAAACCCCCTATTTCCTCAACGTATATCTTCTATCCGAGAGAAGACATGGGCTCACTAATGGATAGAGGAAGAGAGAAGTAGGCAACATGTGAACCATAGGTGCATAGTGTGAGAATTTGCTCACCCCCTCTTCACCCTTGATTCGGGACCAAGGTGACCTCCTTCACCAGAAGCCGAGGAAAAAAATTGACAGTGAGGTAAGGTTAAGCAAAGGAGATATTTGTACGGGAATTGTTTGTGTAAGGGAAAAGACGGAGAAGATTTATAGAAATTAACGAACTTCAAGAAGGAAAAAAATAGTAGCTTCTGTAGTTGCAAAGCAGCAACAGCGAGGAGATTTCTGTGGAGCAGCGTTCCCGTCTGGTTTCAGGGAATAAATAGTTTGAGAGTTCATTCATAGAAGTACCTAGTAAAAGGTGGGCCTAGTGATTTCTAAACACTTACGAGTTCTCAACATAAAAAATTCATAAATTTTCTAGATGAATAGTTGGCTCATGGAAATAGTCACCATCGGAGCCGCCTCGTCCTCCGCTTTCAGAAAATATTAGGTTGATGCAAAAATGGCAGATTTTCCAAGCCTTTTTCTCTCAGGGCAACTTTTTTCCACCAATACTTCTTCTTTACAATAGATGTAGTACTCCGTCGCGAAGCTGTTTTCATGCTCTATGTAACGGTGCAAACGGGCTCTCATTTTCATCTCTTATAAAGTTACTGAGCTTCAAATAACCCCATCCAAGTTCAGAATTTCATTGCATTCACTTTTCCGGCCAGAATTCAAGCGCGTATCAATGGGATTTCTTCGAAAATTTAGCTGTTCTTTGTAATAGAAATTTACATTATGCATACTTAATTGTATTCTTTGAAGATATCCAGACTGAGATATCGGGGCCTAAACATGGGTAGCTGTTGCGGTCATTTTATGACCCAAAATTTTCTTCTGACAAAGTCAGTCGCCGAAGCTTTGCTCAATTCTGTAAGCGTAGGGCTAGGACATTTATTAGCAGTTTTCGCAAAAACATCCAGCTTGAGTAAATTAGAAAATTGGAAAATTAGAAAATTTTATATTCCGGACTTTGAGGCACACTGAAAAAATGTTGAAAAAACTGAGAAATTTTAAATTCCAATTTTTTTCTTTCTCGCAAAATTTTTTGTCCCAATTCTTTTTATTGCATTTTGTACTCTGGCTTGCGGCTACAAGATAGGCCACTTATCATTCAAACTAAGAAACTTTGGAAGTTATGATTTGTCGAAAACAAGGTTCTAGCAGTAGAACCTTTTTTGTCTTTTAGTCCGTATTTCTCTTCCCGTTTATGGGTTTGAGTACAAATAAGTACGCGCTGCATTGCGAAAGGTTTGCCTGCTTCTGGGGTCTTTACCGCACACAGAAATGTGGGTCTTTTAGAAAGTTATAGCACGTCAGAGAATTCGCAAATCGGCCATTACTTTTGCATCACCTAATATATAGCATATCTAAGATCCATTCAAAAAAGGGCCTGAATGAAGGGTGTGCCTAGTGATTTCTCGAGATTTTCGAGTTTTTAACATGAATAAATTCATAACTTTTGTAGATGAAGATCTTATACGCCGAGATGGTAACAGCGGAACCGCCTTGTCGTCCGCTTTCCGAGGATATATAGTTTGCTTCGAGTCTATGAAAAAAGTGCTTAGCGAAGGGTGGTAATGACTTCTGGATATTAACGAGTTCTAAGGATAAAAAAAATTCATTACTTCTGTAGATGAACAACTTGTACGAGAAAACAGTAACCGTTGGAACCGCCTTGTCATCCGCTTTCAGAATATACGGAGCATGTTTGAGATCCGTCCAAAAAAGTGCCTGGGTGAAGGGTATGCTTACTGATTTCTAAAAATTTTCGAGTTTTTTACATAAAAAGATTCATAACATTTTTGATGAACACCATGCACGCCTAGATGATCACCATTGGAACCATCTCGTCCTCCGTTTCAGAAAATATATGCCTTGCCTGGAGTCCGTCAAAGAAAGTGCCGGGTGAAGGGTGGGTGAGACTTTTATAATGGGAATGCTCATGTAGACGTCTTTTCACAATCTTAAAAAAGCCTCCACTTGAGCACTCCCATAACAAAAGTCTCACCTACCCTTCACCCGGCACTTTTTCTAACGGACCCCAAGCAAAGTATATATATTTTCTGAAAGCGGAGGACGAGATGGTTCCAATGGTGATCATCTAGGCGTACATGGTGTTCATTAACAAAAGTTATGAATCTCCCCAGGCACTTTTTTGAATGAATCTCAGACATGCTTGTGATATTCTGAAAGCGGAGGACGAGGCGATTCCAACGGTGACTATTTTCTTGTACAAGTTGTTCGTCTACAGAAGTTATAAATTTTTTTATCCTTAGAACTCGTAAATATCCAGAAATCACTACCCACACCCTTCATCAGGCATTTTTTTCAAAGACTCCAGGCAAACTATATATCCTCGAAAAGCGGACGACAAGGCGGTTCCGATGCTAACCATCTCGGCGTATAAGATCTTCATCACAGAAGTTTTGGATTTTTTATCTAAAAATTCGTAAATATTAGTTTGTCTCATAATTAATGCAAGTTTTTCTAACCTCTTTTTGAGAGAGTTGATTTTCAAAGAAGAAACATTTTTCTTTAGAACCGTCTATACTTTCGAAAAGCTCGATTCCTCTAGTTTCTGACGCGTGCCTTTTTTCGCAAACCTTTGTTGGAGCCAAAGTTTTATGCCTACAAAAACAAGTGATAAAAATATGAAATTCCTTCCCTTCACTCTCATTGCTCTAAATCCGTGAAAAGTAGACGAACTTTTTTCAAAAAAATATGCGTAATGATCGCGAAGCTTTGTGCTACAAAACGCTTGTCAGCATGAGATTTTTGAAAAATTCCGAATCGAGAAATCTTATCTCAAATTTGGCTGGTAGCTGAGGCCCATCTAAGCCGCATAAGAATCTCAAGCGAAAAGCGACTGTATAAATTACGCTATGTACACGTAGAGTAGACATAGTGCAACTAATGCTAGGAAAACGGCAGCATTTCATCGTCTTGAAGAGAAAAAATTTGAAAAATCCCAAAACGGCAGTTTTTGAATTTTTTCAAAATATTGAAAAAAATGGGTACTTCCAGTTTTCTTGCAAGATTTTTTTACAGAAATATGCCGTAAAATTCAAACTTCACTCCATTGCACAACCGACCATCGGCTATATAATGAGCAAAGTCCGCGGATCCTAGTACATTTAAACGAAAGTTAAGCTCTCTCAAAGTGTAGGTTTCTAAAAAAATGTTCGGGAATTTTTTAGGCTATAAAATTTTTCTTAAAGTGGTGCTATCCAACAAAAGCATGCGTTCTACAGTGCTGGACATAATTATACAGCCACTCTGGAAATCGTCGTAATTTTTGTTCTTGTCAATGAATCTGTCGAAACTTTGCTGTATTGTGCGCATGTCAACCTACCATAACCCCTCAAAACGGCTTCCAGTCTTGTTGAGTTTGAACGGAGAAAAACGA